TATAGGTAAACATAGGTTTTATTAGGCGGCCATTTTGAAATCCAAGATGGCCGCCATAATGACCTCGGATAAGGTGGTTCCTACCAAAAATTGAATGCTATGACCATAAGGAGCATGTAAAAAAAAATGGTGCTTTTGTCCGGAACGTCCACATTAAGTCCAAATATGGCCCTAAGCTGCCGTACTACTCTATATATTTTTAGGATAGTTTGTTCTTCTTTATACATTCACCTTACCTTTCTTTACTTGCTTCTTTTTTGTTTTATATTCGGTTTCAAAATATTATATAATAAAAAAGATAAAATTACTAGAAGCATAGCACATGAAACCAGGACCAGTGGCGGATCCAGCGAAGGGGGTGGGGCATTGAGTGCTCCCCCCTCCAATTCAGTCAAGCCGAAAATTTTGAATTAAAGAGAGGAAAAATTGTACCCATGAGTTCAGTGGCGATCCAGCAGTGTGAAAGGAGCTCGATTATTTTCCACTTTACACCAACCATGGTGGGGCTAAGGCGGGCGTGGCGGCGAGAGCCTCATATTGTTTCCCCACATCCCCCCCCCCCCGGTCAGAAAATCTCTGGATCCGCCCAAGAGGACTTGGACATGGCGCTTAGAGACCTTGTTAATTTGCACCTTATAAATCGACCTATTATTATTATCATCATCATTATTATTTATTATTATTATCATCATCATTATTATTTATTATTATTATCATCATCATTATTATTTATTATTATTATCATCATCATTATTATTTATTATTATTTATTATTATTATTATTATTATTATTAATGATTATTTATTATTATTTTTATTATTAATTATTATTAATTATTATTAATTATTATTTATTATTACTATTATTATTATTATTATTATTATTATTATCATTATTATCATTATCATTATTATTATTATTATTATTATTATTATTATTATTATTAATATTATTATTATCGAGAACGATCGAGAATCATAATACAGTATATATCAGATATTCCCAAGATGTGCATTAGAAACCGCTATCGTGGAGTAGCCTGTACACTAACAACGGTTTGTTTGTACAGTCGACCTTTCCATTTACGTACACCTTGGACTAGCCTGGGTTCCAGGCCCTAATTTTAGGTTACTCACTCTTTATTGCACTTAGTGCGCGCCATACCTAATTTAATTGGCGGCCCATACTCGATTTCTTCTTTTTCGAATTAGGGCCTGGGCAAACGATTCATGCGTGCAATTTCCCACATCAAATTTGATGTGGGATATCGTATGCATGACTGATTTTGTAAATCACGTGATTGGCTAACTTCATGCATATTAATCAATCTTGGTAAATTTTCAAAATTGAAGATGCGGATGTCTCGACTAGAACAAGCTCCAGCTCCCTTTTAGCTACCTACTTGAATTAAAACAGTTATATATACAGTATAATAGTTCTGGCCTGCTGAGAACGACATGGACTGATAACCGTAGGCTATAGGCCTACTTGGAACCTTGCTCACCACTAGCTGCTACACATGTCTCTTATACACATCTAGATGTGTATAAGAGACAGATATATGTGACCTCAACGGTCAAATTATTCAAAATATCATACTTAAGTTCATCAGCAAACATAAGTTAACTACAGTTTTTAAAAGGGTTGGATATATCGTTAACGAAAATATTGAATAAAAGAAGCCTGAAATTGAATTTGTGGGCAATCTAGAGTGGATATTTAATGTTTCAACCGCCCCAACCTCTCCCCAGATAACTCTCTGCTACCTGTCACTAAGATGAATGGAAATTCTTTCCAAATTTTCAAGTAGAGAGCTGCGTAAATGTTTTGGTTTATTGAAACTGAGATCTCAATCCTGATTATTTCATTATTGTCGTATTCTCAAAGGCAGGTACTCACTCGACCGACGCGATTCTATGGAGAAACATCCTGGTGCCTGATTTCAGTGTTTTACAAGTCGCTTATTCCGTCTATAAATTAACTTTCTCGTTGGTGGCGCTGTCCAGAATGAGAAAAATAATAAAAAATAAGAGACTTGTGGCAAGTCTAACCTTGGACTGAAAGCAGTTCGTAATTGAGAAAATTCGTATGAGAAGTTCTTAAGAATAGCGCCCTCAAGTTTAAAAACGCCAAGTTGTAGCCTATAACTAGCCCTGCCTACCAACTTTTAGGTTTGATTTTGCATTTAAGTGTTGAATAAACATTTATAGAAATCATTGAAGAATCAATTAAATATTGACAAACTAATATAACAGAATATCGATTCATAAACAACAAAGAAATACATAGTTCAAGTAATCAGCCTTCAGCTGCAGAAAATACAATTAAGCGAGGTAAGCTGCAAAGTCTACCTAGGCCTACCCTAGGCTAAACTAAGCTAACATCAACAAGGTACGAACGTGATAGCTACGTATACGGCTACACACAAATGACAGCGCACAGTTCGGTGCAAGCTAATTCTACAGCTATGGCGATGAATCAAATTCCGCCTCCTGAACCAATGAACTGTGAAAAAGATGACCTTGAAAACAATTGGCAATTTTTCAGGGAAAGTTTTGAAGATTACAGAAAAGTCACACAATTGGACAAAAAAGATGAGTCAGTGCAAGTAGCCACTCTGAAGTCTGTGATGGGTAAACAGTGTAAACATATTCTAAAGCAGTTACGTCTTTCAGAAGCAGACATGGCCAATCATACAGCCATATTAGACAAACTTCAAGAACATTTCTCTCCATGCAGAAACGTACTATATGACCGATACTTGTTTCATGATTCCAAACAAGAAGAAAGGGAGACAATTGAACAGTATGTTATTAGGGTGCGGCAACTGGCTAAAAAATGCAAATATGGTGAAGTTGAAAGTGAAATGATAAGAGATAGGCTTGTTCTCGGAGCCAAAGATAAAGCTGCAAGAACACGGTTATTTCGAGAAAAAGAATGTGATCTTAAAAAGGCAATAGAGACTTTAAGAATAATTAGTGAAACTACAACTCAGCAAATACGAAAAATAAGTGGAGACCAAGAGGTACATACACTAAAGCAAAAGTCTAAGTACAAAGATCAACGTACAGGAGCAAGAAAATGGGAATCTAAATCAGAAGCCATCAGGCTTCAGTGCAAATACTGTGGTTGGAAGCATCCAAGGGGCCATAATTCATGCCCAGCCTATGGAAAAACCTGTTCCTTATGTTCCAAAAGAGATCACTTTGCATCACAATGCATGCAAAAGAAGAAGAAGGTACATGCATTACAGGATAAGGATAGCGATTCATCCGACTATGAAGATTTAAATTTTGTTGTAATACACACACTGGGTCAAGAACCATGCAAGTTATTTGCTACAATGATGTTAGGAAAGAAACGTGAAGCAGTAAAGTTTCAACTGGTTTCGTAACTTGTAATGTCATTAACCAACAAAATTTGCCAGAGGAAAGCATAATCATGAAAACATCTAAAGTGTTGACAATGTACAACAACACAAGTCTTAAACCTGTTGGACAATGCAAAGTCAAAATGGTCAATCCAAAAAATGGAAAGAAATACAAAGCTGATTTTGTAGTTGTGAATGAGAAAGTTAGTGGACCTCTGTTGGTTTGTAGAGCAATACAACAAATGAACTTGCTATCCATAAAACCTGAAAATGTCATGGAGGTGACAGAGCAGATAGTTGAAAACAGAGGTATATCAACACTTAACATCGATGATCTACTAACAGAATTTCCAGGTGTGTTTACAGGTTTAGGCAAGCTGGAAGGAAAATATGAGATAGAAGTCGATCCACAAGCAAAACCAGTCGTACATGCACCACGAAAAATACCCGTAGCAGTAAAAGATAAGCTAAAACGTGAATTAGACCGATTAGAGCATGAAGGTATAATTACCAAAATAACAACAGCTACACCTTGGGTGAACAGTGTAGTGGTGATCGACAAGCCAAATAAGACAAGAATATGTTTAGATCCACGAGATCTAAATGCTGCAATTCAACGCAAACAATATCCAATGACAACAATTGACGAGATATTACCAGATCTCCACCAGGCCAAGGTATTCAGCGTCTTACTGTAGATGCAAAAGATGGATTCTGGCATGTTAAACTGACTGAGCAAAGCTCATATCTCACAACATTTAATACTCCTTATGGTAGATACAGATACAAACGTATGTCATTTGGAGTAGCAAGTGCTCCAGAAGAGTATCAGCGAAGACAAGAAGCAGCACTCGAAAATGTATCTGGAGTAAAGACAGTTGCTGATGACATCCTAGTATACGGAAAAGGCGACACAGTAGAAGATGCAATACGAAACCACAATAATAATCTCAGGGCTGTCCTAAAAAGATGCCAAATGAAAGGACTTAAATTAAACAAACAGAAAGCCAAACTAGGGCTCAGAGAAGTACGATTCATTGGACATGTGATATCTGACCAAGATCTCAAACCAGATAAAGATAAAATACAAACAGTGTTGCAGATGGAGAAACCAGTGAATGTTAGTGCCGTCAGGCGAATTATAGGCTTTGTCAACTACCTAAGTAGATTCATGCCCCAGCTCAGTGACATGTGCCAGCCGTTGAGAGAACTAACGATGAAAGGAGTGGAATATCGTTGGTCAGAGAGACATGACCAGGCATTTGCAAGCATAAAGCAAGCAGCAACAGAGCATCCAGTCCTCAAATATTATGATAAAAATAAACCGTTAGTACTGCAAGCTGACGCATCAGAAACTGGACTAGGAGCTACAATCATGCAAGATGGGCAACCAATAGTGTATGCTAGCAAATCTCTAACAGATACAGAGACTAGATACGCACAGATAGAAAAAGAATTGCTTGCATCAGTTTGGTGTTTGGAAAGATTTCACCAATACACGTATGGACTAAAAGTGATGATACAATCAGACCACAAACCATTGGAAATAATAACACGAAAACCACTTTACAAAGCACCAAAGGGTCTAAAAACACTACTTATTCGACTCCAGAAGTATGATACAGCGATTTATTATCTTCCTGGAAAACACATGTACCTTGCAGGTACATTAAGCAGGGCATGTAATTCTGAAAATTCATTGGCAGACCAAACTGAAAGAATCAATGTAATACAGAGCTTTCGTGTAGCACAACCACGACTTGATGAAATACGCACCTATATAAAGAAGGATGCCAATTTGCAAGTTCTAAAAGCCATCATAATTTATGGATGGCCTGAGCACAAGAAAAATGTAGCTCCGGCCGCAGCGCCATATTTTGACTACAGAGATGAGCTAAGTGTGCATGATGACATTATTTGCGGAGGAGAAAGATTCATAATACCAGCAGAATTACGAAAATACATAATGCAACGAATACACAGCTCACATCTTGGAGTGGATGGATGTATTCGGAGAGCAAGAGAGTGTGTATACTTGCTACAAATGAGTTCAGAAGTAAGCGATTACATTGAAACATGTGATGTCTGTCGTACAATCGAACGGAAACAACCAAAAAGAACTCTACAGTCACACGAAATTACAGACAGACCGTGGGCTATGATTGGAACTGATATGTTCACAATTCATAACAGAGATTACTTGATTATAGTGGATTATCACTCAGGATTCTGGGAAATAGACTACCCAGATGATACACCGGCGGAAACAGTCATAAAGAAAATGAAAGCACAATTCGGCAGATATGGAATTCCAGATATAGTAATCTCAGATTCAGCAGCTCAGTACACAGGTAGTGAGTTTAGCAAATTTGCAAAGAAATGGGGATTCATCCACAACACGTCATCTCCATATCACCAATAATCAAATGGCAAGGCAGAAGCAGCGGTCAAGGTAGCAAAGAACTTGATTCGCAAGGCAAAAGCAGCTAAATCAGATCCATATCTTGCTATCCTAGATTACAGGAACACACCTACACCAAGTATGGATACAAGCAAAGCACAACGAATGATGCAGCGCCGAACAAAAACACGACTGCCGACTACTGCAAATTTACTCAAACCAAGAGTAAACAAGGAAGTAATGGATCAGCTCAAACACAAACAACAACAAGCCAAACAGTACAACAAAGGTGCAGGTGACTTACCAGAGCTTCAAAATGGAGAAGTTGTACGTATTCAATCATATCCACACAAAAGAGAATGATTACGAGAAGTTGTACGTATTCAATCATATCCACACAAAAGAGAATGGCAGAAAGCAGCTGTTAACAAGAACGTGGCAAAGCGATCATAGGAAGTCCCCACCGAAATGGGGTAAATATTTCGACGGAATAGAAAGCATTTAAAGAGAACCAAAGAAAGATTCACACCACACAATCCAGACTACATTGAAGCAGAAGACCAATGGAAGTTACAAATTGAAACCAATGACAACGATACCTCGACACAAAAACAAATGGACAAGCTACCAAAAAGATCAACATCAGCAGCAGAAAATCAGAAAATTACAACACGTTGTGGTAGAGAAGTCAAACGTCCTGCATATTTGAGAGACTGTCACAAAGTGAACTATATAATAGTATACAGTAACAAATGAACACTTAAAAGACATACTTATAATTAATGCCATGATTTATTCACCAAACACTGAGGAAATTTCATAATAGACAAGGAAGAAAACTCAGAAAATTCATTGTTTGTTTAATTATGCAATGCAACTTGTTTAAAAAAAAGAAAGAAAAGAGGATGTTATAGGATACGATCTATGTAATAACCTCTATTGTTTCACATATGCTTAGTATATTTGTATTCATTCATGCTATACGAGAGTGAATAACCACAAACAGTGGTTTAGCCAAGGTTTAGCTGGGCCTAGCAGCAGTTCTCTGCTAACTATAGCTAGGCCTCTGTCCGTAATTTATAGCAAATTAGTCAACAAACACTGATATAATTTGTATTAAAAGCACTGGGCACTTATGCACTTATTATTTATTTAAGTCAAGGTATTTTTGTATAAAAGAAACTGCTCCTCAGAATAGTATTTTTTCGTCCTTCCTGACTTCCAAACATGTGGTTTCGGTACCTGTAGCGTAGAATGATGGGTAATTGCTGATGTCATCTTCTAAAAATAGAGCAGCTTGCTAATCGTTTTTGTTTTTTGTTTTTTTTTTTTTTTGTTTTTTTTTTTTTGTTTGTTTGTTTTTTTGACAGTAAAAAACAAATAATTAATACAGATGCTTATTGAATATCCGAACAGTGATTTATTCTTAAAAGGATAAAAGGTTGATGTTATCATACATTTATACTCGGACTATCTGATTTGATTTACAGTGCAATTATACCGCAGTTAACCATAGACAGAGTAGGGTAGGCTCCCTGGTATAGGCTGCCCAGCCTAGCCCTTAGCCCAGACAAGGTAGTCCTATCAGCATGCACTGCCTGCCTGAATTTCGCCTAGTTTTTATTATTTTACATCATGTATTGGTTTGACTTTTCTAAGCCTAAAGTAGTATGATGTATTTATGGAATGACTGTATAACTAGTATATAATGCAATTTTTAATGACCTTTGTAATTCGTTTTTCTTAAAAAAAATAAAAATAGCATAAATAAGATGAATAAATCTAGCGATGACGTCATCGGCAGAACGTTCGTAAAATAGAAGGTTCGTAAATGAGAAGTTCGTAAATGGGAAGGTCGACTGTACTGTATTTGTTTTCTCCAGTAAACGTCGCAAATAGGAGCCTAGCTGGTACATATGGAGTTATTATTATCAGAATATTTCGAGTGGGTCTGATATCTCGTGGTCTTAGGTCTTAGCTTTCGTGGTCTGAGCTTTCGGGACACCCGTTTTACATTCTTTATTTTTTTATGGCACAGTTATAATATAACTGAGGAAATACTATTTCCTCCCCTCTCTTCCCCACTTTTCTTAGGATGTTGACTGATTGAGCGTCAATTGCACGTGTGTATCACATCGTACTTACAAATACAATTAACTGTTACCTTAGTCATTACTTACAGGTAAACGCAGCCGGGCTATAATAAAACTTCATGTTTTATGACTGCCTGATACCGCTTTATATCAATGAGAATTAAAAGAGATGGTGAAATAACACACTAACACCCATTCTTTACATAATATAAATTCACTTTACACTATTCATTTTCCTTACATAAAATGTATTTGTTTACATTCCAAAACAGTTGAACAAAAGCTAAACTGTAAAATGTAAGAATTATTTAAACACATTTCAGTTCAATTTAAAAGACAATAATATTATACATGATTTATTGAAAAATTAAAAAAAAAGAAAAATTTTGAAGATATATAAATGAAAACAATTAAAAGAAAAAAAAAGGTTAAGAGTGTAATTTTTAACGATTCCTTTCTTATAGTTTATATCCTAATGTATAGTAAATACGTATTTTACTGCGTTTGTTTTTTCTCTTTGTTTCATGGAA